AGAGAGAGAGAGAGAGAGAGAGAGAGAGAGAGAGAGAGAGAGAGAGAGAGAGAGAGAGAGAGAGAGAGAGAGAGAGAGAGACCCCAGTTCTTCTCGCTCTTCTGCAATTTTTTTTTCTCTCCCTTCGGATGGGAATGTATCTTGCGCTTGAACATGGAGCGATACACAGCCCTATATTCTTTTTTTGGGGGGGGAGGGAGGGGTGTGTTTCACTTTTTGTCGTTTTGCGTGGAGGGGCATATGGCTTTCTCTCCCCACCACTTGACGAACAAGGAGGATGAGAATGAATCTTGCGCTTGAGCAAGGAAAGATACACCGCATTAACTTCTTTTTTTTTCCTTTGCATGGCACGGAGGAGTATGAGAAGCAGTAGGAGGAAGAGGATGAGGGTGGAAGAGGGATGGATGAGCAGGACGCCGCGATGCAGAGGAGAACGAAGAAGGATGACGTGGCCACAACAGACGAGGAAAAGGAAGAGGAGGCAATGATGGAGGATGAGGATGCGGAGCACTAGCAAGAAGAGGAGGAGGTCACTACAATGGAGGAGCACGGGTGACAGGGGACGGTGGCAGGGCCACATCTCCGCTACGACACAGGACAAGGAGGAGGAGGTCAAGATCTAGAAGGACGAAGAGGATAACTACGAGAAGGATGGAGGAGATGGAGAACCTCGACAAGGCTGGAGGAGGAGGAGCGTGGCAGAAGATGGAGGAGGAGGGCACTAAGATGGAGGGGCATAGGGAGGATCAGGACACTATGATGCAGGAGGACGACGACAAGAACATTCCAGCAGGGCCCTACTATGGGGGGAGAGGACGGGGAAGAGGAGGTGGCGGCTATGATGGAGGAGGGAGAGGAGGCAACAATTCCGCTACTCACCACATGCACAAAAGGCAAAAAATGTGTCGGTGTATCTCCCGGTGCTCTAGCGGAAGATGCATTGTCATCTGGAAGGAACTTCTGTTGGCGGGGCCTCGCTCTGCTACTCACCACATGCACAAGGCAAGAAAAAATATGGCAGTGTATCTCCCCGTGCTCTAGGGGAAGATGCATTCTCATTTTGCACTTTTGCTGAGTAGTGGACCGAGGCCCTCTGTCGGACGTCTGACACCTCTGTCAGAAGTGTGGCTGATAAAACAAAAAAAGCTGTCCATCAAAAGATCAGTTTGGACATTGTAACGCTGCTTGGCGAACATCTCTACCGCCATGAATCTGCCAAAGTTTTTGACATCCATTCCCGTGGAAGATCTTTCAATTTTTTTTGCTTTTTTAACTTCTTTTTTTTTTTTGGGGGGGGGGGGGAAGCGGAATTTCATTCTCATTGCAACATTTCTTTTTCTTTCTTTCTTTTTCCCCCTGCTCTTGGGCTCCGCCGCGGATGTGGCGGGCATCCACTTGTTTTTCTAAAGGTGGGGGTTCGATCCGGAATCCGGATGGTCTGGAGCAGTCCAGACAAAAGTCTGACCGGCTGTCTGCACCGGTCTGGTGTTCGGGTCTGGACTAACCATGAAGCAAACCAAAAAAACAACTTCAATTAAGTATACAACAGAGACTGACAAAAATATCGACAGATATATTCAAAACACCGAAAAGAATGAACGAGGTGCCATGCAGATGTGGTACACAACCTTCTTCAGAATCTTCACCCCATCACAATGCACGGTCATTATTGCTGTATTTAGACTGAAAGACACCACAAATACCGCTATAATGACCTTTATTATCAAAAATCTATCAATTGAAAGTCATGATATCATCATATTGTCAAAAACCAAGAAACAAAAAAGGACAGAGAGAGAGAGAGCACGGAAAAAAGGGTCGGCAGGGGGTCATGCTGCCTGTACCAACTAAGTCAGCAACTTAGTAAGTTCGAATTTGGAGTTCTTTTTTTTTTTTTTTAACTAAGCTATTTCAGTATTTGCTTCTCTCATTTATACCTCCCACTACCTTCCAACCTAATATGTCCTAGCACCACCCTCCATCCATGCCAAACCACCGCGGAATAGCTCAAGGAATATTTTTCGACTCCCGAATATTTCTCCACTTGGGATTGGTCCTAACCCCTGGCGATGGCTGGAAGGGGGAAGGAATACCCCTGCCAAGACCAACCAGGGGGGGCAAACCAACTACCTCCGCTGGTGAACCCACAGCGTACCACATGAGGCCATCGGGGTTCAAATGGATGACGTGGGGAATCGAGCACACGACCTTCCAAAGGCTGGTTTCGTGCTCTACCACCTGCGCTAGGCCGCCGGCCCAATTTGGGGTTCATGTTCTCTCTTGCATGCATTGATTTTCCTGTCTTCCTATGCCTTCATCAAAGGGTTTCAAAAGTGGATTGTTTTCTATAAGGGCTTAGTGACTTTCGTCCTTAACTGGGGTTATCTGGCAGATGGCAAAGAGCGCGAACACCCTGCCAGACTCTGCAGGAGCCAGGGTAGCATTTTTGGTCTCCTGCAAGGAACACACATCCAATGCTACAAGTGCATCCATCAAGGGGTGAGAACATGTTATCAACTCATCGCGGTAATCGTACCATCTTTTGCGGTATTAGTCCAAATGGAAACGCCCGTTCCAGTAGCCTTTCTCGCCTTTGTCCTCGCGTTCTCTGCAATGAACACAGACCATGTCAATATCTTACGGATTCTTACCTTAGTCTCCAGGTTTGTCTCTTCCACCCACCCACCCCTCTCCAACAAAAGAAGGGAAAAAAAAAAGGAGACCCTGAGGTGACACTCCTGAATGGACTTACAAATACACTCCACAAGGAGTAGTAAACACAAGAGAAAAAAGACAGCAAAATGTCAACGTTGAACGTATTGGAAAATACCCGGCCGTGTGGTAAAAAGTACTAAAAACTTGAAAAGAAGAAATGACGTTGATGTGACATTCCTGGAATCATGAATGGAGTCAGGCTTTTGGAAAAGAACGATGAATCCAGAAGCAGCTGAGAAAATCCCTTGAAATAGGTAGCCAGACTAAGCCAGTAGCTAAAAGCAAAACCAAATTTAGCGGATAACATCAACAAGCGAAATTCCTCGACAAAGGGGTATTTACCGTATTTTACTATTTTTACTATTTTACTATTTTCTGGCCTGAGTTGCAAAATACGTCAGGCCTTTGAAAAAGTACTATGCATTGACCAGGATCATAATACGTTGAAAAACAGTCCACGCCCAACCCATCTCCCCCCCCCCCCAAAAAAAAGACGTACCTGGACCCAGAAGCTCGGCCGGAAAGTACGCAGGAGCCATCTTAAGAATAGATGAAAGAGGAATTTTGTTTGCCCGTGAAGCCTTTTGTTTGTGCTTCTGATTGTAGTCCTTGTCATCACCCCCGTTCTCGACTGTGAGATTAAAAATGCAACAACACAAATCACCAGACAAAGAAATCAAACGGATAATTGATCAAACAATCAAGCAATCAAGAGGTGAATAGGTTCATTGGACAAAGTGACCAAAAAGATAACAAGCTAATGACACATACTATGATCACAGTTTCCAGGTAATTGTGAACTACTACTTCCCATTAAAAAAAAAAAAACTGCCAGAATCTAAATGAATATACGGTTCAGCCACTCGATGAGTCGGTGAGACTCCAAAAAAAACAGTTTTCACAGCCCCTCGTTTGTTGTCCTGTTCTCCCTCTCTGCCTACAATTGACCGGGCAGTTCTCTAAGACGCCATATAGCACATAAAAATCAAAATGCTCTGTTTGACTATATATGCCATGACCCACACAGTGGCACACACTTGATTGTCTGAGATTTCCGCAATTTCTGAGAAACCGCCGTCTTTTTTTTTTTTACCTGATTTCTTCAGAGACGCTTTTGAGTCTGTTTTGCTGTATTTTCTGTGTGTGTGTGTGTAACCGACCAGTTACGTAAATGCGCTGTGTGTGTGCCTGAGTCCGAATCTGAGTCCGTGTGCTAACTCTGTTGGCTGTGATGTGTAACTATGCCTTGGACAGGGACAAGGTAGCTCATAGGTAGAATGACAGGGACAGGACTGAGATTGGGCATTTGACGAATTTGCAGAAGGTCGGGAAGGAGAGGGGCATCGGTAGAATTTGTTAGAGGCCACGCAGGCGTTTGTCCAGAAAGTAATGATGATCCAGCACCTGAATGTAGGCCAGTGGAAGTCTAGGTTCAAGGGCTGTAGGTAAACATCAGTCTGCAATGATTGCAATAACCCATGCCATGGGTTCATTGCATGATGTTTCTACCCAAAGCAGGGAACACCTGGTAAGGCCTGGTGCACCCGAGGGAGGCAGGGTAGAGGCAGGGTAGAGGCAGGGTAGAGGCAGGTAGAGCCCAGTGAAGAGGTACGGGAGGCTGGGCAGCCAAAGTATATCATTTGTAAAAATGACCGGTCCACTCATTCACCCACCAGTCATGCTGCTCCTCTGCCAAGAAGGAAAAGTGCCCGAGCTCCTTGAGGCTGAAAGTGGAGCTGGAGGGTGATGGGGAAGACCTCCATAGCTATGGAGGTGTAGTAGGGAGTAGCCCTAGGCTATGGAGGACCTCTTGCCAGGCTATGGTGTAGTAGAGGTTGAGGGACGAGGAAGGAGGTGGGAGTCAACAAGGAGACTAACCTCTGGATATGTCTTCATCTACAAGTTTGGAACTGCTTCAAGGAAGCCCCTGAAAGGGTACCAGTTAGGCATGCACTTCATCAGAGAGAGTAGGCATCAGATAGACAGTAGCCATACCAAGGTGTAAGAGAAGGTGAAGAAAGACAAAGGAGGGCTCTTTACGAGGCTGGCAGCAAGGGGGAACGATCGGACGTTGATTCTGGCTCATTCGTTGATTGTTGTTGTTTATTATTGTTATTAAGACGTTGGAGGCGCCACTGTGGGAGAGATGATGGAAAAGAGTTGAGCAGTGTGGTGACACTGGTTCCAACTTGTGTTTATCTCCTTCTTCTTCTTCTTCTTCTTCTTCTTCTTCTTCTTCTTCTTCTTCTTTCTTCCATTCTTCTTCTCCCCTTGTCTCATTCTGTTCTACAACTTCTACTTGAATTTGCAATCGAATGACATTGTCACTTCTTGAGACTTGCATATATATTCACAGAGAACTGCAGGCAGAAAGGAAGAAAAGGACAAGAAACAGGGGCTGTGACAGTCTGTCTTCTCGAAGTTTCACCGACTCATCTGGAGGCTGAACCCTCTACAGTCTGCAGAGTCTCCTAACTGATGATCCTGCAAATAATTCACCTTGAGGCTTGAACACAGCTGCAGTCCAGCACCAACAACTGCCCCACAACTGATACCCCGACCTGGGCACCAACAACTGGCATTCAAATTACACGTGACAAAGATTTTAAAGCAAAAAAAAAAATCCACCCACCCACACTAAATGGAAGACTCTACAGACTGTAGGTTCACATACGTATCATATAAGCTTTTACACCACAATAGGAGACAAAACAGGTCAATATGGCATTTGAGGTTTAGGGTTTTAGGGTTTAGGGAACAGTTTTAGGTTTTAGCGTCTTAGGGTTAAGGGTCTTAAGGTCTAGGGCTTTAGGGATAAAGGTTCCAAGGTTGTTTCGATAGTCTTCTTCTGGTACGGGTTCCAGTCCCAGATCGAGGTCCAGGTCCAGCTGCAGTTTGGGCTGGAAATTTGGGGGGTTAAGGAAGTAGTTTCCCCAACCTGAAATCGACAGAACCAAAGTACTGATAAGTCGGTGTACAGCGGTAAGTTTGTGAGATTGTATTACAAAACGAGTTTGCGAAAGAAGTGTGTCCTGTGATTTCTTGGACGGAGCAACTCTGCTGGCGAGCCCGTAGGAACCTTGTTTGGGTTCGGGGCTTATGGTTTTAGGCATGGCTACGATCCGGACGTCCGGACTGCCGTCCAGACGGTCTGGATTCAGTCCGGACTCCAGACGTCCGGTCCGGAAGGTCCAGATCTGCAAAAACAAAAAAAAACAGTCCAGCACTCTTCGGCACTGAGGAGCCAAGCCCCCAAAATTGCTTTGGGGTTTTTTCAGGCCCGTTTTTGTTTTTTTGGGTGTTCCGGACATGATCTATCTCTATAATAATTTATTACTAATACCCAAGTAATGAATCATTATGATAACTATTCATTACTTTTTAAAGTCTTTTTTTAAGTTTTTCTAGTTTTCGACTTTTAACTCGAGTTTGGTTAGGAATTCTGACGTGAGTCTGAGACAAAAGTGGTTTGCATTGTTATTCAGACTTATTCTGCATAACATTTTTTTTTTCCAGATTTTTTATTATTATTATTTTTTATGATCCGGATATTTCCGGACCTGCTTACCGATCCGGACCGTCTGGAACCATGCATGTCCGGAGGTCCGGATATTTCCGGAAGTCCGGGCGTCCGGACCTGACCGGACATGCGTTCGGTCCTCGAATATGAGCTGTCCGGGTCCGGGTCCGGCGTAGCCATGGTTTTAGGGGTTAGGTTGCAAGATGTGTTTCAAGAGACTTCTTCCAGTTCCAGCTCTAGATCAAGATCCAGGTCTCCGTCCAGGTCCAGCAGCAGTTGCAGCTGCAGCTCAGTCTCCAGAACTTGACTTCAAAGAACTGAAATATGAAACAAGCCAGCAGGAGGAGAAGTTTTACTGCATTTCAAATGAACTCCAGTTTTGATGCGTAGTCGGAGAGCAGTGGTGAACACCTGTGTCAGAAGTTTTACCATATTTCAACTCAACTCAGGGTTGCTGGCAGCCGGTTGGTCAGCCATACCAATCAGGCCTTCTGGATGAGAAAAAAAAGAAAACACAAAGTTCGGGTTGTCCTGCGCATGGCCCAAACACCCGAAAGAGCGGTGAAAACTACGTTTCCGGGTGACTAGGTTTTTTCCTCTCTGGGTGGGTGGGGGTTGGGGATTGGGGGGCGGGCAGGGGGGCAGAGGGTTGTGAATTATAAAAATAATTCAGGAGAGTAGCTTCAGACACGGGACATCTCTTGTCAATGCTGCTCTGTGAGGCAGTGGGGGATTAAGAGGTGACCCTATTCACTGTTGAGATCTTGATCTTCTGGAGATTTCACAGTTGAAAAGCGAAAAAGTAAGAGAGCAACATCTGCAGTTTTTTTTCTCTACATAATCTTTAAAGACTGACCCGGGTCTCGCATAACGTTCCCACACGAGACCATTTTCCCTCTTGGGCCCAGGGTGCTGCACAGTTGGCAGGTGAGATGGCCGTTGTTATATTTTTATTTTTTTTGTCATCGCGGCGCCCGTTCAAATCGCGCAGGGCGCTGTTTCTACTGACGGTGTATCAGCCCCAGGATGTTTGAATACAACTTCAAAGGCTGTCGGGCCAATTGTGAACGGAACTCCCCGGCCCTTTACGCACAACTTTGCCTCGTCCCTGATTTCGTTTTTGGGCCAGGAGATGAATGCGAGGCTGGATGACGAGCGGGAGGAGGACGGGGAGGAGGACGAACACGAACAGAAGGAGAACGCGTGGTGGGAAAAGTGAAGGGGGAAGACAAAAAGGAGGACAGTGGGTCTCCCTCCGCTACTCACAGCATGCAGAAAAGGAAAAAAATATTGTCATGTATCTTCCCACGTTCTAGCGAAAGATTCATTCTCAATTTGCACAGTTGCTGAGTAGCGGAGCGCCAGGAGTAGTAGGAGGAGGGGCAGGACGACTAGCAGGAGGAGGAGGGGAAGGATGAGGAGGGGGAGGACGGCGAACTATCTTTCTTCTTTCTTTTTTTGTTGCACCGTGTATATTGGCATGTTGTAGTGGAAGATTCGTTCTCATTTTGCACATTCAGTAAGTAGTGCAGCGAAGCCCAGTGTATGGAGGAGGAGCAGGAGGAGGCAGGTCGGGAGGATGAGCGAGAGGAGGCAGGTCGGGAGGATGAGCGGGAGGAGGACGGGAGGAGGACGAGGAGGAGGACGATGAATAGAGGAGAACTAGTGGCAGGAAAAAGGAGGGGGGACAACGAAAGGGACGAGACCTAATGGCAGGGAAAAGTGCAATCACTTGCTGATTCTGCAGCCTGCGAAAGGGAGGAGGCTGTAACATAGGTAGGCCAGTTCATAATTTTTTTTGTTTGGCTGAGGGCTAACCGAGATATCTGCCTGTGAGGGAAATCCGTGAAGGACATATCTGCAAATTCGGGAAAATTTCAGGCCCGCAGTAGCTCGAATTTCCTCAACTACCCTAACTGTGAATAGCAGGCCCAGGCTACCATGAGGACAGACAGGCTGTGGCATACTGCGTAGCCACACGGGCCTGCAGGGCCCGACCAGCGTTCGCAGCCTAAAAGCCTGAAAATAAGGGCTTACAGGCCCTGTGTCATTTCAGCCTGAAAACCTGAAAACGAGGGCCTGCAGGTCCTATGTCGTTTCAACCTAAAACAGGGCCGTCCAGGCCCTGAGTCTTTTCAGCCTAAGACGGAGGGCCACTTTCGGGCCCTCATAAGATCGACCTGCCCTGACACTCAGGCACCAAACCAGGGTTTTAGGAACAGGCTATTTTTGGCCTGTTCCCACGACAGCCTCAGCAGGAGCTGCAGCGCCAGGCCCTGGCTCACTTTGGCATTGGCAAGAGCAGCCTCCTGGACTGTCCCGCCCTGCAACTGCAGGCAGTCGGAGGCAGTCAGGAGGCAGGCCGAGGCAGCACATAGGGAGTTCCCATGCACTTCATGGGTAGGAAGAAGGCAGGAGGAGTCTTCAGGATTCGGCAGGATCACTCTGGAGGAGCGCTGCAGGAGTAGCTTTAGCGCTAGCAGCAGTCTTCAGCGCTGGGCGCTAGTAGCTGTAGTGGTAGTCTTCAGGGCTGGGCGCTGGTAGGAGTAGAGTAGTGTTGGAGAGAGAGATGGCTGGCGGAGGCCAGGGAGACTTACCTGTGGCCCCATAGCTCCAGCTTCATCTTCGAGGTACCTGCATCAAGGCGCCAACTTCACAGGTCAGTACCGGACTGAGAGAGAGAGAGAGAGAGAGAGTTTTTCTTCTTCCTCTTCTGAGTCCACCATCTCTTCTTCACCCTCTCGCTACCTGACTTCTCAGTATCTGCGGACTACGAGAGAGAGAGAGTTGTGACTTTGGGACTTGATGACATTGGATCCAGACTCAACATTGGGATTCAGACATTTGACAAGGGATTATTTGGGGCCGGTGCCGAAGACTTGGTTTTGACGACATTCCCATCTTCCCCTCTTCTCCGTCTAACCCCCCTCTTCTTCGTCTGTGTATGGTTGGGGACTGGCACATTCTTCCTGTGTGAGCGCCAGGCCCCTTCACACCATGGAATGATGATGATGTATGTTTGGGGCTACATTGCAACATTGATTGTTCGGATCATTGGTATCTAAGTCTTCCACTACGCTATCTTGTACTTTGTGAGAGAGGTCGGTTCTTGTTCTGGTCTGCACCGTTACGGTATGCAACACAGGCCCTAAGGCCTATGCTGTTAGACTGGTCCTATAGCCTATAGCCGGGTAGGGAGAGGCCCTAGGGGCCAAAACAGAAACGGTACCGGTAAGTCCGGTCGTGTCTAGGATAGGGTAGACTATTAATAGATTGTAGAAGTCTGTTCGGGGCTTTTGGCAGTTGGTACAATGTAAATTGAGCTGCGCAACGCGTGAACTGGTGGAGGTACAGTTTCAGCGTTGGAGGAGACAGACATAACCAGACCTTCAAAGTGTCGGCCATAGCTGGGACCTTCACTGTTCTCTGACAGCACGCGGGGCTGTCCAAAGGTCTGGGCTATTTGAGGTCTGCTGGGAGCAGGAGAAGTTGGTGCCCTGCCGAACCCTCCTCAGGAGTAGGGTTTCAGGGTAGTGGCGCTGCAGCCATAGCTGCAGCTTGCATCCTCAGAGATTGTCATTTGTCAGAAGAGTTGGCGCTGCCGGTATCGGAGCGGACCTCTCAATCAGAGGACCCGCTCAATCAAGTAGCCAGCTTGCTTGATCTATTGATTGTTTATTAGTAAATCAAGGAGGACTTCGTCAAATCTCTGAAAAAAAAAAATCTTTCTCGCAACAAATATCGGAAAATTTCTGACAATCACAGTTCGTTTTACCTGAAAATTTCTGATATTAGCATTTCGTTTTCACGCAACAAATATCTGAAAATTTCTGATAATCGCATTTCGTTTTACCTGAAAATTTCTGATATTAGCATTTCGTTTTCACGCAACAAATATCTGAAATTTTCTGAAAGTAGCATTTCATTTCTCTGATATTAGCATCCAAAATTTCTGATGTTCGCATACATAGCCGAAATTTCTGATGTTAGCATTTCGTTTTCTAGGCATATTAGGATAACGATAGAGGTGGTCACCGGATTTATTCTTTTCTGAAAATCGAATCTCCATTCTATCTCGCAATTTTTTTTTGAAAACCGAAATCTTGCGAAGCCTATCAGCATGCAATGAGCCCAGACGTGATGATACTCGTCTACATTACCAGTCCATATGATTATCGATCTGCTGATGAATGACAAACAATCGCAATGTGTGTGATGATAGAATGAGGTGAGAATCATTGTTGCATACTTCAATGAGTATGGGCAGAACCAAAGATCAACCAATGTAGGATGAGCATATATGCAACGGAAGTCTGATGAACAGACTGACTCACATAGCATCACTCCACACACATACAATCGTGAGGTGGTGGCGTCTGAGCCATACATAGAAGATGCTCAGCCCCGTACACACATACACAGATGAATGGGGGAGGAGAGACGAAGAGGTGGGGGGAGGTAGACAGCACCGAAAGTCACCGAGGTAGAATCTGATAGGTCACCGATATGGTAGTCCAAAATGTCATCCAACAAGATCAAAATGTCGAGGACCATAAGTCACCAATGTCGGGGATACAGAGTCCAAATGTAACCGGTGTCTGAACTGTGATGTCGCCAAGTATCAACCCCAACGATCCCCAAGTCTCCAATCTGAACTGTGATGTCGCCAAGTATCAACCCCAACGATCCCCAAGTACCACAGTCTCATATCACCGAAGTCCAACTCTGATCTCTGTCCAACTAGTATAAGTCTCTAGTCTGAAGAAGAAGAAGAAGAAGAAGAAGAAGAAGAAGAAGAAGAAAAAGAAGAAGAAGAAGAAGAAGAAGAAGAAGAAGAAGAAGAAGAAGGAGGAGGAGGAGGAGGAGGAGAGAGAGAGAGAGAGAGAGAGAGAGAGAGAGAGAGCTGACGAGGGAGGGAGGAGAGGTCCTCCGGCTCCCAGGTACCTCAGGCGGCAATGGCCGCCGTGCTGGCTCAGTCGCCCTGCTGCTGCTCCGCTTGGTGCTGCGCTAATGCTGCGCTGCCGCTGCTGCTCCTTGCTCGCTCCTGCGCTAAACTTAGCGCATCAAAACAGCGCTCTGGCGCTGACCATAACCCACCGGCAGAGTGCCGGTGGTTCGATGCCTCCAAGTGAGGCTGTACCGGTACTTAATACCGGTGGGGCAGAGGCCGGCCTCAATGCTGCGAGGCCTGGCCATGCCCTGAACCGTCCAGATGGACGGTTCAGCCCCAACCGGCGGGCGGCAGCCTCAAGARCGCCGCCAGGCCCAAACGATAATGCCGTTTGGGCCTGCCCGTCGGGTACTGGTCCAAGATCAGGCCCTGAGGGCCTGTAATACCCCAAGGTCAGGCCTTTAGGCCCTGCTGTGTCCCTCCGGCCCTAAATCGGGTCCGGTAGGACCCGTGTGCGTCGAAGATGTAACACACTCCCCCTCTTAAAAGACCGAGCTACCTGCGAGGGCGAAGTTGTCTGTCCGATACCAGGGTGGGTCGGGCGGGACGAGCTGCGTCCTTAGCAAGGCGTCGCTTCTCATCGTCGGCATAGATGAGGGGTGCAGAAGTCTGCAAATCTGTACTGGAGATCCACCAAGTGTCATCAGGCGCACATTGCTTGAATGTGACTTTGTACTGCCTTGGCTTGTTGCCATACTTGCGGTGCGTGATGACTCGGTCAACTTCCTGATGTCCGTCCATAGAAGGCGGATCCTGTGATCGACGTCCAGGGAACTTGCCAGCTGAAGGTGGCGTGTAGATGGCCAGCTTCGATGCGTGGAAGACCCGATGCACAGTCAGGAGCGGTGGAATGTTGATCACGAAGGAAGGACCTGCGGGGTCGTCTCCAACGGCAGAAGTGACTTCCCATGGTCCGAACCATTTCGGAAGGAGTTTGCGCGAAACATCCTGCTCGAGCGCAAATTCCTCGGAGAGGACCCAAACAAGGTCTCCCTCGCGGAAAGGACATGGAAGTCGACGTCGRTTAGCWTGTTGCTGCATGCGGATCTGAGCCTTTTGCATATTTGTGCGGGCTTTGATCAGCAAGTCCCGGTACTTCCGGACGGAAGCGGGAGAGCAAGGGACGTCTATGTCGGCAGCCTGTGGCAAAAGGAGATCAGCGAAGATCCGTGCTTTCTCTCCACCATGATGTAGCTCGAATGGTGTGACGCWGATCGCCGGGTGCACCGAAGTGTTGTAGGCGAACTCGATGTCGGGAAGCCGGTCAACCCAATCTTTCTGGTCGGGACGGATAAGCGTACGCAACATCATCTAAGTGGTCTGGTGCGCTCGCTCCGTCTTACCATCTGTCTGCGGGTGCCGAGCCGAGCTCGGCTTCATTGTCGTGCCGGACTCGGTCATGAGAGAAGTCCAAAAGGCCGACATGAAGCGAGTATCTCGGTCGCTCACTATATCTTCCGGAACACCCTGGTTGGTAATCCAACCGGTGTGCAAGAGTCGTGCGAGCTCAGGTGCTGCAGCATGATACTTGCAAGGAAGGAATCGAGCATACGTGCTCAAACGGTCAACGACCGTGAGAATACCGTCATGGTCGTGGCGATCGCGGGGAAACGGGCCTGTCACGTCCATAGAAATGGAGAGGCGTGGTGCCCGAGGGATCGACAACGGTTTCAGTTCGCCGAAGGGGACTCGAGATCGACCCTTGTTACGGTGGCAAACTATACATGACTCAATGTACCTCGTGACGTCGTGAAGGACGTCGGGCCAGTGAAAACGCTGGCGGAGGCGTGCTAGTGTGCGGTTCACGCCAAGGTGTGCCGAAAGTCGTGCGTCGTGGAATTCGCCGAGAAGACGAGTCCGTAAGATGCGATCTTGGGGCACAACTAACAAGTCCTTTCCTCTCGTGTGAAGGAGAAGGAACCCGTCGAAAATCGGATAGTGGCTCGCCGGCGGGTGATCCGATGAAAGCTCCTCGTACAGTGTAGAGTAAGTCGGATCGGACTTGTAGCCTTTGACGAAATGCGGTTGCAGATCGTCATCGAGGTCGAATGCCGTGGTCACAATGGCGCAAAAGTCGGGCCGTCGTGAGAGGGCGTCCGCAGCTCGATTGGCGGGACCAGGAATGTGGCACGGGTCAAAATCGAACTGGTCGATGTAATACATCCATCGACCGAT